AATAAGCTTCAAAAACTGGAATTTGAATATGACAGGAACTTGTGTTCATTTCTGTAATGGGAAGTAAGGTAAGAACTCACCTTTCCATGAGAAATTAGCATATTCAGCCTGCACTCTTTTCCCCCTTCTGTCAGTTGGCTTTTACAGTTTTGAGGGTTTCCTGGTGTTTCCAACTCTTCCAAGCTATGCACTTACCCATTCTTTCTAGACTTGGAGAGTAATGGGTTTTKGTTGTTGCAAGTTTTGCTTGTTTTTTTAATAGCTGTCTTGGGTGATGTGAGGGAAGTACCATATTTACTAGGCAAATTAGGTGAGATTTCTTTGCTTATGCCTTCCACCTACAGAATCAATTACTTGGAGGGACCTGTGTGTGTTATGATATATGTAGTTTAAGATAGTCATTCAGAGGTGGCGAGACTTTCTTAAATCAGAACACCTCAAAGCTCCGTGGATGTCTTTGAACCCCGCGGTTCTTGCATGAATATAGGAGGCTTTTATTGCACTGCTGTCGGCGCAGACGCTCRCAGCGAGTGAGGGGCAATGGTGATGCCCACGGGACAGGCCAGGCTGTTGTAGCTGCATGTGTTGTGTTTGTTTGTTTTCTAATTGGAATGAGTAAATAAGGAAGGAATGGTGGTTTTGGTAGCTGTTACTGCAGCAGTAATAGAAGACATGTAAAAAGTCCTTTAAGTCCTTTCATGTTCATTTCATTTACTTTTTTTTTCTTCAATCAAGATACCCAAGTCATTATTATAGTGAAGAATCGTTTTTGCAGTGACTGGTACTGCTTTCTTGCATCTAACTGTATTTCAGATACGCTGCTCAGTCACTGAAAAGATACTTGCTTTTGAACTGCAGTCAGTGAGAAGGGTTAAAGTGATTGAAAGTTGATTTTGCTACAAAACTTGGCTCTGAATCTTTCAGCCTCTTCTCTGTGGGTTTTGCTAGCGTTTTTCCTGTATGTATTCCTCTGTATGCTAACATACTCATATGGAGGGAAGGCTGCATGCAAGGGAAAGGAGCTAGAGATGCGCTTCTGCTTTCATCTTCCTCATCTGTGTATTGTGCTCACCGCCCCCTTAACAAGTGTGGAACATGTGGATCAAGCTCCTTTCTTTAAACAGTAGTAATTTAACTTTCATTTAAATATAATTTGCCAAGTTTTGTGGAGAGGAGGGGGAAAAAAAAAGACAGCTTGCTTACTGCAGTGTGAATCGCCTGTGAGGCAGGTGCAGTTCTGGTGTGAATGGACCGTCAGTGGCCGTGCGGTGACGACTGCAGATTTCCCCACGGGTGACAGGACCAAGATGCACACTTACTTAGGCTGAGAAAGCTGGATTGAAAGGCACAGCTTAATGTGATCTTTCTTGCCTCTGTGTGAATGCCATAAAGCTGTATAAAGCCTGCAAGACTTCTGTATGCCACCTCCTTCTGATACTTAGAATTATTTTTCTTCTAAAAGCTCTCTTGGTATTTTGGTATGATTGATCTTGCTATTCTTTTTGAAAAYTGGAATATGCTCGTTCTGTAAAATCGCCTGTGCATCTGTCTGCGTTTCATTGAGTAGGTGTCTTTTTTTTAAAAAACTCATGACAGTAACTAATGGAGTTTTGTTCTTTAGCCCTAGTTTTCTATGCCAACTTTGGTTTCTCTGTGCCTGTCTTGCCATTTTATTTTGTGTGGTCTGTACACGGTGACACAGCACCAAACTCTTCTTATTCCGTGTCTGAGGGATCTAGAAAATCCTTCTGACAACTGATGAACTGATGCTGTCCCAGGGCTGTAGTTTAGTTGTCTCCCTGCTTGTAGGAACAATTCTCTTGAGGAAATTACTGAATTTGCTCATAATTGCTATTTAATGATTATGGGCAACTTTTCTAGAGCAAACAAGTGCAGAATGAGTTTCTCCCCAGGGTTTATAGTTTTCTTCTGCATTTTTCCTTTAGGTTTTCTCACAGTTACATCTTTGGGACTTGCCTCCTGTAGCCAGAATAAAACTGTTCCTGAGCAGTCTCTGATTGTTCCTGTTTTATATCCTTCTGCCATGAGGCTGCGTGGGGGCGAGGAATGCAAGGAGGCGGACACGCTGGCTGCTGTGTGCTCTTGAGCCATTTGTCTGTACAGGTTCCCCTCTCGTTTTAGTGCTGCCTTAGCAGATAGATGTTCAGTTGGGTGCTCATAGTGTATATACCTGCAGTGTGAAATACTGTAGTAATTCCAGTAAATACTCCTTTTAAAACAGTGATGCTTCTAAAATGCCTGTCTCGGTGTGTCTTGCACYTCTATAAAATGAGGCTAATAGGGCATACATGCACCTTCTGATTAAGAAACTGGATCTGAAGTCTCTGATATTTCTTTTTGGCTCCAGTTTGAATTGTCTAGGTTTTTAAGCAAGGTAATATGTTAGTATTTCTAGTCTTTTTTTCTTCATATTCTGTTGTTTACTAGGCAGTTACAGTAGGCATCGTTCTCCTCTTTCCCTTCACAAATTTTTCTCAATTGCTTTCCTTAYTGTGATCAGTCGAGGTATATCTTATACTGTTTCAGAGAACCACAGTGCTGATGCTGTCACTGGAATTCTTCCGTGATCTGCCAGCTGTGCTTTTCCAGAGTGGTTTGGAAGGAGCGTGAAGTACTTTGAACAATGTATTTGGCCATGAAATTCCCAAGGCTGACATATCTTGCATCTTCTACATCAGTTTAGTATTTAGCAGCCTTATTGTTCAGTGTTACTTGGCCTCATAAATTATTTTCCAGAGTGGGATAAACATGAAAATAATTTGAAGCTACAGAGTGCTCATGTCTTTGGTTTCCAAGTTGCCTCTGAAGTGCTCCAGATAACATCTGCTCTGACAATAACATTTGTTTTGCTCAGTTTATGGCTCTTCATTAGCACTTCCCTAGTGCTCAGCAAGCAGCGCTAATACCTCAGCATTAGGGAGCTGAGGAGGCCTCTTGGTCCTGAGCATGTTCTGGAGCTCTCTGAAGGACCAAATCTGCCAAAACGAAGACTGGAAAGTGAAATCTTGAAGGCTTCCTCAAAATGAGCTTTCTGTGGGATAACTTTCACGTTAGCTGATGAGCAAGGGGAAGTATTTTCTTGTGCCTTTTTGGAAGAAGGCCGCTGCTTGTATTCTTTTTGCCTCCAATTCTAAGAAATTGTTACAAGTCACCTGATTGGGAAAGGGGAAGAACTTGAAAGAAAGGAATTGGATGCAAACAAAAAATAGACCAGGCTTCTTAAGGTTTCTTTCTTTCTTTAGTACTCCCATCTTTATTTATGCCTTAATTTACACTGATGTGATAAAGGAATCTGTGCTTCCCTGCAAGTTCACGAGCAGCGCTTTCCTTTCACTTTGGAAACTTGTATTCGCCCTTAACCCGCTCTGCTTTCCAGCTGCCTCTGTTCATTGCAGCGAACTGCATGGTCTCCAGGGTGGTGCATGCACCTTCTCTTACCAAATGTGCATCCTCTTTTTAATTACTGCATAATTACATGCATCTTTTGCATAYGTGTGTGTRTRTATATATATATCCACACACAGAGCTTTCTTTTCTCATGTAACACGTGTGCTTTTACAGTTTGTGTTTTCCCACCACCCCAGAATTGCTCAGTCACAATTATTGAACTCATCTTTTTAGTTCTCATGTCACATAAAATTGCTTAATTTAATATGAAGGASTCTGAGTGTGTTCTTCTAATGTTAGATTTGACAATCTGTTCTGTCCACATTGCCCTCCCTTTCTGCATCTTGCATTCTTTTCTAGACAAATGTCACAGGGTAACCTTTTCCATAAGGTCCCAATGATATTCCGTGCTTCAAAGTTTCCATCTGGAGCACATTGTCAGTATGTAGCACTGCACTACCAGCTATTCTTCAGGTCCTTTTTTGCTTTTACATGCTTGGCCTGCACATAAAGTTGACTTTATTTCAGTCTTGCAGCAGAATTACCTGTAACGTGTAGAGTGGAGGATTTACATGTTGCAGCCACGTGCTGCTTGTGCATGTGGCTTTATTTCCCTCTGTGCAGTGTTTGCCTCCTTGGAAGCTCACGGCCAAGTTACCTTCACCTTGGATCCGAGCTGGGCGGCCAGGGGAAGGACTGGGGCATGTTGTGAAGAGCTGAGGACAGTGGTGAGAATGGGCTGGAGAGGCTGAAAGAAACAGCTCTGTGTATGCAGCGTGAGGCAGTGAAGTGGGGGAATAAGTGCTGCTTAAGGAGAGGTGCTGCGTTGTGACTGCCCTGTGTGTCGTCACTGAGATGCCACCGCGGACAAGCCCTGCAAGTCCTTAGAGAGTATTTGATCTTGGCAACTTGGAGCTCTGCTGCCATGTGTGTGCCTTCTGGTGTCGTCGTGGCTCCAGGTTCTGGTTTTAGCTTAACGTTAGCCTTAACTAGCTTAGAAGGAGAGTGATGTAGCTTAAAGACTCTTGAGACTTATGTAGCTGAGTTCACTTCAGTTGGGCAAGCTTCCTGTGCTGGCAGTTCTAGTTTCCATTTATCTGAAGTGTGCTGCAGAACAAGCAACTAAAATCCCCACTTTGCTAGAAACTGGATGTTTTCTATAGATGGAGGACTGTTTGATTCTTTCTTGGCAAGCCCCGGGGTGTGTGTGTCAGCAACGAGCCCATGTTTGGGTGCTGGCCACCCAGTTGTGGAAGGTGCAGGTGCCTGGGGGACCTTTGGGCTCCTGTGGCTTGTTTCCCTGTGCCCTCCTGGCCTGTTGGTGCTCCCCAAAGGAGGTGGCTTGGTCAGTGACCTGATCCCGTGCTGCCCTGTGCTGCACGAGCATTAGTGGGGAAAACTGTAATGTCAGCATTGTTTCCTCATTTTGTACTTAATGATATTTCATTAGTGCATTACAATGGCAATGAAAATGAGGTGTCCAGTATGTTCTCCTCCATAAGGTTTTTCTTCCTGTCTGCTCGCTCTTACATTTGCTTGAGTTCTTTTATTTATCTTCTTTCTTCAAAATAACTTTGTTTTTATCTTAGCAAACTGAAGAAGCTGAGTGAAGACAGCTTAACGAAGCAGCCTGAAGAAGTCTTTGATGTTCTGGAGAAGCTTGGGGAAGGGTAAGTGCAAGTGGCCAAGAGGACCRTGTTGGAGGGAGCAGGGCCCAGAGCTGTGCTGGAAGGCTCCATTGCACAGGCAGTGGCTGTGGATGCTGGAGGAAAGAGCTCYAGCCTTCCTGGAGAACCTTTAGAAAGAAAGCAGGTGCATTTARTGCTTCTTTAGTGCATTCCATGCTTCCCCCAAAGCTGTTGATGCATTCTTGTCATGTCTCTTGGTTGTTAAGGCAGCAGAGGTGTGTAGCCTCTGCTGAGGCTAGATAAATAGCTCTTGATAAAGATTCATTGTTGAGATGTGGTGTTTTTTTCTGAGGTCCTAATACAACTGAAATTCTTGCAGCCTGAATCACCGYCTAGGCATGTGGCTTATGTGACATTTTAGAGGTAATATTTGCTTGAAGTTAAAAGTAAATTATCATTTAAAAATAATGTGTTAATCCATTTTTTTKGTATTATTTTCAGATCTTATGGTAGTGTGTTTAAAGCCATACACAAGGAGTCTGGGCAAGTYGTAGCAATTAAGCAGGTCCCTGTGGAGTCAGATCTTCAAGAAATAATTAAGGAAATCTCTATAATGCAACAATGTGACAGGTAGGCATGACAATTCTGCTCCCTTTCTAAGAAGCTATCTGAAAATTCGCCATTGTCGTGTGTTCATTTTCATGTAAATTTAGAAAAGTTTCAGCTGCATATATGGAAAACAATGCAATTTACACTGAATAATCTACTTAAGGGATAGGATTCGAGGTTGCTTTGGTTGGACTCATTGAAGGACATGTAAATGAGGTGCTTCACAGAAATTGTTGAAAGAATAAATAGTTGTACGTGCTTGTAGTTCTCTGCATTTGCATCACTTTGTTTGCACTGCCAAGCACCAAGACTAATATTTCCTATAAAAGCTCTGGACCATGTAAATTCCGAGTTTCCAATTTTTTTGGAAGATTGATAAAGATAGCACAAGACTAATGGCTACTGACATGTCACTATTTTAGAAGTTAACGGCTATTCATTTTTCATGGAAGAATGTATCTGTTAAATAGCGATCAATCTTAGGATAGYTCTGAATAAGAGCTATTACCCTACACTTCATAAACAATATATCCTACGGTGTCTAGTATTGTAGAGTTGTAGCATCCAGTATCTGTAAGGATGCTAAAATATTTTCTCTTTTCTGTAGAAGTTTTTTTTGTTGCAATGTACTTCTTGGTATCACTTTTTTGGTTCTATTTTTCTGAACACTTCCAAATTTTTGGGGKGAGTTTTTGTTCATATCTAACCAGAAATGTGGAAATCTGTTTGCAGTTCAAGGAAAATTTCACACTTCAGTTAGGACCCTTCTTCAAAATGCTGATTGTTTAATCAATAACTTCTTAGAGCAAGTGGTCTGTCATTAAAAGAAAAATTTGCCCTTGACTGGAAGTGAGTGATACACACCCCGGGTTTGAAGGTAGCTCTTTTAGTGCCCCCAGTATTTATTCAGGTGTTGCTGGGTGCTCTGGATGAGATGCAGTCGTTCTCTGGTTGAAAACAAAGGCTGGGGTGCAGCTCTGCAGCGTGAGCTTCCTTGTGTGGTGGCTTCCCCAGTGCAAATGCAGTATCGTGCAGTGCYGCTGGGAGGGAGGGACCTACCCTTTTAGCTTGTGGTGATTCCTCGGATGTTACATTAAAACCCTGGATTCATGGAGCATCTTGAATAAAAGATGCTTCAATCTCAGCATCCTTCCCTCTTCCCTGACAGGTTCCAGAGCTAGCTGCAGTGTTTGGACTGAGGTCCAACTGGGGCAAAAAAAGGTAGATTCTAAGGCAAACCGTTGCTATGGAAAAGGCTGATTCACACAGTTATCTGGGATGAAGCTGTAAGCAAATGTGCTGTTATGGTTGCCTTGTTTTGAATTGTAATAATGCACAGGTCTTGCTGGGAATATTAACATAGTGTAAGTCTGGCAGGAGATGGTCATAAAAAACAGTGGCATTAAGAACTCTGCTGAGAAGATCCACAGAGATGATGGTGAAGTTTAGGAATTCACCTCGCCTCAGGAATCCATAGGGGCAAGATCTGTATGTAGTTAGGGCTTGTTAGGGTTTGGTTCTAGGTTGGTTACACAGGTGGAACTGGCTGCTCTTATGGTGCTGCTGGTGACTCTTCACTGTGGCCTGTTCTGCAGAACCTGTGATGCCATGAAAAGGTCTGTGTGTATGTTCAGGTCTGACCTGTCCTGCATGAGCATTGCAGGTGGAAACCATTGAGCCTTTCATTTTCTTTCAGCAGTTTTCTAGCAAAAAATCCTGCTGCCCAAACTCCCCATGCAAAGAGTCCCTTTCTGCARAGCCAAATTTCTGCGTTCAGTTGCACTGCACAGTGTGGGTGTCCTCCCCTGAGGCTGGCGTTGGAGAGCACAGCCTCTCCTTTGCTTTCTAAGGGACTGATGCCAGCCTGACTAAACCTTCTTTGCTTAAGCGTTTGGAAGGAATTCCAGCCTCTTATTTCCATAAACACAACATTAATCACTATTCTGAAGGAAGATCCATGTTGCATCGTTACTACATCTGCTTATGCCTCTGTTGTGAGCCTCGGAGGAAGCGTTGTGTCAAGTGACATGTTGATGAATAGCAAAGCAACATGTTCTGTTTATGACAGTGCTAAAAATACATCTTAACATTAGACACTTCCGCAGGGAAATGGATTTTCAGATCCAGAATTCTTGTTCTAACCAGCAAAAAAAATTTTGTTTTCAGATGGTAGCCTACATTTGCACTTGAAAGAATTTCATATATGTGAAAAAGTAGGAGTTGGGGGAGGGACCATGTGTCTTTCCCCTCCCCCTCCCTCTTTTTTTTTTTCCTCTTTTTACTTGGTTTTGTGAGAGAGGAAATGGGAGTTTTTTAGAGGTCCTGAGGGAAGAAGAGGGGAAAAAACAGTAATTTCTCAAGGAGAGTTAAAACTGGAGTGGTTTTAAGAGGAAAAACAAGCTTATTAAGGGAAAGATGCTGCCCGCCTTTCATTAGAAGATTTATGCTTGGGCAAAACTGTTTATTTAAATAATCACTGATAATTTATGGTGTGTATGGTAGTGCTTCAGTCSTTTTTATTAAGCAATCGAGCTTTGTTCTAACTAGGCATTGGTTAAAATAATTACAGTTTTAAAATGCATCTGATTACGCTTGCTATCTGACTGTGCTCTTGTCTGTCAAACTAATTTTTAACAGAACTCTACTGGTATCTTCACTATGAAAAACATCTATTTTTTTTTTTTCTCCTCCCTCTAGTCCCTATGTTGTCAAGTACTATGGCAGCTATTTTAAGAACACAGATCTGTGGATTGTTATGGAATATTGTGGGGCTGGCTCTGTTTCGGACATAATTAGACTTCGTAATAAAACGGTGAGTTGCATTCTTTTTCTTACAGCATTTATTAAAAGTAAACTGTTATTGAAGACTAGAAGCGAGAGTAAGAGAGAAACCAGATGAGGCTTTGATTGTTGCCACGGGACATGTTTTTACCTTTTTTCTTAGGAAAGATGCTTGTGTGTTTGCTGTAGCTGTTTCATCCMTTACTCTTGAAATACGAAAATCCTGCAAGTTTTGTGGAAATTACTGCCCTGTAAAAGACAAGACTTTTTGTGTGGCGCCTTCCCCCTGCCCTTTCCACCCTGCAGTCCATGCGTAGGTTGTGCAGAACATGCCTGGCTTGCAAACAGCCACGCACTTGTCCTTCTCCCACTCCATAATTAGGGAGCCTAATGACAAGGAGAGGGATCTGCTGCTTGGGGAATGTGGGAAAAATTCCAAAGAGGAGTTGCAGGAAGGAGTCGCACTGAGGTTGTGGCAGAAGTGATGGAGAGGAGGATGGAGGCCGGCAGGAAACAGGCTTTATTGGCTCTGCTTACAAATGACTTCTTGAGGTCTTGTTGTAAATGCTGAATATTCTTTAAATGCTTTGATGATATTTATCCCTCCAGTAGTGGGMAGTAACATAAGGAATTTATTCTACCACTAAACGATATAAGGCGACCCTGCACTTGCTAGATCTATTTTTTTATTATTTTATTTATTTATGTAAAGACATTTTAAATGTGATCTGAAATATTCTTTGTCCCACATGTGGGAGCAGAGAGAGAGGAAACAGTGTTGTTGAGGCTTAGGAGGAAAAGGGGATGTGAGGGAAGATGGAGTTGGATTTAATAGGAAGTGGGGTCGTGCCCAGAACAGAGGGAACCTCTTTGGAAAGGATGACAYTCATTTTGCATTAAAATGCATCCCAGCTGCTGTGTTGTTGAATTGAAAACTGCGGAAGAACAGCCCAAAACTACAGGGTGGGATGCTCCTGGGGGAGTTATTGCATCTCCTAGTAGGACCATAAACATCTTTACATTATTCAAGAGTAGGAGGATAATAAGTAGCTCCAACAGCAAATGATGCTGTTGTGATAGTGATATTCTATGTAAACCAAAATGTAGAGAAATGACCAAAAATAAAAGCTAGCATTCTTTATTAAATGTGTGGGCATGTATATATGTGTGTTTATATAGACAGTTTAAACATTAGGCAATCCATTTTCCCCAATATGTTAGAATATTGACTTATTAGGAATGCTACAGRTTTAATGGAAAGATGATATTTAAACACTCTTGGAGCAAATGTGTACCAATGATCAGAGAAACTTTTTCTCCTATTCTTGGTCCATATAGTGAAAACTGATAGCAGAAACTTTACTCTGAAAATACGGTTGTCACAAGGATAAATGTAGTAGGGGGAAAAGTCAGCATACTTCTCTTGGTAAAGGGAAATCATGGCATACATGCTTTGTAGAGCATGTGTTTGTTTAAGAGTTCTTGGCTAAGTGAGTGCCTGGTTGGTGTAGATATTGTTGTAGTGACAGGTTTTTGGGCAGCCTTCTTTGCCAAAGAAAAAATATTTCTTAAAGAAATATGACTACAATGGAGTAAATGGAAAGTCCTCTCATAGATTAAGAGGTTTGTAGCTAGAGAAAGAAAGGTTTAGACCAAGTTGTCAATTTGGGAACTGCATGTGGATCTGCTGATGGAGTCTTAGTAGCAGTAAAATTAAAGAAACGTGATAGCCTCTGCCTCTGTGTGGGTAGGTGTGAAGGGATGCGTTTGGCTTGGGCTGAGGGGCTAAAACTTTAGACATACGTTCCTGAGCATTTCAGCTTAATATTCAGCAACAAATAAATAAAAGGGGTGCTAGACATGTCAAAGGGGTGCTAGTCATGCCAAGAATGTAACAGAATTGCAGAGGTTAGAGAAAGTTGGTGAGGATGATCAAAAGCACAGAATAGTCCTCTCTAAGGAGGATGCTAAGTAAATTATGCTTGTGTGTGTGTAGCGGGGGGAAAAGGTGCACAGAAGGCAAAATGGTGAAGACTYGGATAACCCTAAGTTGCCCAAAGAAAGTGAGTAGGATTTCGTTATCTGCTGTTTGTTACAAAACAAGGAAGCACTTGGGTGCTAGATGTGAAACGGCTTTTCTCCACCTATGGTGAAGAGGTTCACCATGTAATTCCAAATCGTGTTATAGCTGTTAAGAGGTTGATTTCAAAAGGCAGTTGGACAAGACCACACTTAATAGCTAGGGCTGATAAACAAAAATACTGAGTAACTGGCTCAGGAGATGTGCCGAATTCAGACTGCTGGGCAGGTAAGGCAGACAAATATTGCTTTACTCACTGTGTCCTTATGCTCTTTCTAGGTACCTGCTGTAGGCCGTGATGAGGGCAGGCTGCTGGGCTAGGTATACCTTTTATTCTGCCTTATGGCAGGTGATGTYCTGTTGGAGAAGGAGAAAAGCAAAGCAAAGTCTCTGCTCCTCTCTTGTTATGTCATCAACTCACAGGATTTGGCAGCTTTTTCTTCTCTGCCACCAAAACTGTTTTACACCTTGACATCTCCCTGTCTCATATGAAATATTAAGAGAGATTCTGAAGGTTGAATGTTATTTTGTAGATCCTGATGACTGCCCTTCAGCCTCCTTTTGTTGCCCCCTCTGTAAATATGGAAGCTATTTGAAGTTTACATAAGATGGTTTGGACAGACAATTGTTATTGTATTTATGCATTATATTTAAACACAAAAAATACCTTCAGTTTGCACATGTCTTTACAAACTCTGTGTGATGAGTTTGTGGAAAACTTTCTCAGGTCACAACAACAGTCAAATTAGAGGGCTTTAAARTCTTCCTTGAAAAGGATGTGCCGTGGACTGGTGGTCTGTAGCAGTCACTGTGTAGAGCCATCAATGTCCCCTTGTAAATGTAAAGGGAGAATAAGAATTGGACTTACTGTGCAAGTATGCTTGGAAGTTTTCATTGTTGTACACTAAACCTAAAAATGAAGAAAACTGCTATTTCTAGTAAGTGGAAACAAACATATTATCTCCAATTTGCTTCAATTGCCTTATTTTTACAAATGTGGCCTACTAAAATTATAGTCTTCTCTTCTCAATCCCACTTGCTGTCCCTGGGAAATCATTTCAGGCTGTCTTAAAGAGCTCTAAGTGGTTTCATTAACCTATATACAATTTAATTACACTTCCGTTTAAAAACAATTCTAACTGTTTATATTGTAAGTCTACATGGAAAAAGTAAGTTTACCTTAGTAAGCTAAAGCTGGTGCACATCCCTTAGGTGGCTGCTGTAAYTTATAAGACTGAAACTACCGTATTTGTTGTGTAATGACTGCGGAACAAGAGAAGTTACATTCTTGTACCTTATTCTTGTACTCTTTTTTGGATTACTTGATTACTCTGTATGATGGAAAATGTCTGACAGTGTTACTGGAATGAGGCTGCTCAGAGAATTTGGTGGTTCAGCTTTTAGATGAAGTTCCTTTGTGGAAACAATAAATGGCTCCACTATGGAGGGTTGGTCCTTGCTTTGTCAGAACTTGTATTCAGTAGCTTCAAGCACCCATGACAATTTTTCTAAGTTGTCATAATGTGAATGAAGACTGTGGATGGGCCAAGGACCAGGGTTGGTTCCTGCTTTTTTTTTTTTTATACACAAGAGAAAAAAAAAAAAAAAAAAAAAAAAACCCGGAATTTCAGAATCACGGAATGGTTGAGGATGGAAGGGACCTCTGGAGCTGCTCTAGTCCAGCTCCCAAGCTCAAGCAGAGCAATTGCCCAGGTCCCTGCCCAGGTGGATTTTAAGTATCTCTAAGGAGACTCCACAGCCTCTCTGGGCAACCTGTTCCGGTGCTCTGCCRCCCTTGCAGTAAAGACCTTTTCCCTCCTGTTGAGTTTCTGTTGCCTCTCGTCCTCTTGCTGTCTACCCCTGAAAAGAGCCTGTCCCTGTCCTCACTGTGGCCTCCCTTCAGGTATTTATACACGCTGACAGGATTCCCCCTCACTCTTCTCTTCCCCAGGCTGGGCAGGCCAGTCTCTCGCGGACTCTCCACACGTACCTCAGTGTTACCTCATGTAACCTCCATGTCTCTGTATTGGGAACTAGACCCACGTCTGGCGGGGCCCACGTGTGGGTCAGACACGTGGGGCTCACGTGTGCCAGGCGCTGCGCCAGCAGGGCTGGGGAGAGGGGGAACCGCCTGCCCCGGCCTCCTGGCTCGCTGTGTTGGAGAGAAAGGGAAAGCAGAACCCAGAGATAAGGTGGTCTGTGATGATGCAGGGTGGCTTATTCCTGTCAAGAAACTGTCCCCATCCGAGCAGTTTCTCCCTGAACAGGCCAAAGGCCTGGCTTTGGAGGTGAGCCCCACGCCTYGGTTCCTGCCACAGCGTTTTGCAGCGGGCCAGGCAGATGGAGCAGCGCTGGGGCGAGCGTGTGGGGCCGTCTGCTGCCGACCTCAGGTGTGGTCCTCGTCCATCCAGGGCAGCAAAACCGGGTGTCTAGTTTTGCCCGTTTTTCCCAATACCTGATGTGGCGTATCTGTGCCTGTATCTTGCACAGTCAAACTGTGGAGAGCTGCCAAAAAGAGCAGTTAACGTGGCTCGTACGTTCCCATCTCCTCCATGCCTCAGATTAAGTGATTATGTGGCTCCAGGGAAAGCAGGATAAGCTTGTGGATGTGACTTTCACTTTATTTATTGAAACAACTTCCCCTTTAAGGTGTGTGGTTTTTTTGTTTTTTTTTCCCCCTCTTTTCTCCCTCTCCCTAGTGGGCAAATCACCTTGTAGCAAGGAGATCTGATGCAAGAGAAGCGTTAGGAAAGAGCAGTGGGGAAGGAGAGGAAAAAGGAGTAGCACTGGCTTCAGGGGCAGCCTGCAGTGGACTGAGATGATGATAATGTGAAGCTGAAGCCTTGCTGGCTGCGGCTGGTGTTGGAGGAAGCATTGGTCTTCAAAACCCGCCTAAATGCCGCCCTGTGCCGCATGCTCTAAGTGTCCCTGCTCAAGCAGGAAGGTTGGACTAGGTGATCTCTAGRGGTCCCTTCCAACCTCAACCATCCTGTGATTCTGTGATTGGCACCGGAGCCTCCTCGCAGGTGAGGCAGGCAGCGCCTGCTCCTCTGCTGGTCGCTCCATCAGCCGAGAGCCTCCAGTCCCACCTCTGTGGGGCTGCTGCTGCTGGATGGGTCAACTAGTCAGCTGGGCACCCGTTCAGAGCAGCCTTTAGACTAAGCCTTGTCTAGTGCTTTTCTGCAGAGCCACACTGAGGWCATATCCAGGTTTATAAGGCAGGAGAGGCTGGATGTGATGAGGAAAAATGTGCTTGTGTGTCTTTCCTTTCTTACGTTTCTCTTTCTCCTCTTTCTGCCCTGTTTTAAAGCCTGCTTGTTTTCCCTGTAGGCCCATGCTTGCCCAGGTTGCTTCATTTGATAAAAGAAACAGGAGTGAAATATTTCCTGCTCTTCTATTCCTGTCTCTTCTGCCACTGCCCTAGSTTGTAATATCCTATATTGCAATGCAGAATCCTGCATTGCAATATAATGCAATATATTTCATTTCTATATAGTTCTTAAGTATTGTCAGTCTTAGGTTGCTGAAACAGTAACATGATCGTATAAACACAGGATGGGAAATACAGAATTTATCTTTACTAATGCATTCCAATCAGAGGTGGCCATTTGAATGGCTGTTTAATTGGAATAARCATGTGTACGGGCATCACATACACCCTGACCACCACAGAACGCTCTCAAAGCTCTTGATAATACTAAAAAAATAGAAGTCTAACCTYCCCCTTTCCCTTGGTACATTTCCTCTTTGGAAAGAAAAAAGCTTTCCATGTGGCTAAACCATCCGATGAGCTGCTAACATCTTCTTCAGTGAGGTAGTATATATATATATATACTACCTCACTATATATACTAGTATATATATACTACTATATATACTACAGTGAGGTAGTATATATAAAATTCTAATTTAGACAGTAAAAATTAAGGAATTAAAGACATAATCATTAAGGCTAGAACAGTATCCTTTTTTTTCCTGTGTGTGTAAATATACATATATATATATATATTTATCTTTTACAGTAAATGAATCTGTATGTGAAGTTGAGGTGAATTTTTTTTTTGTGTATTATTGTGGTGAAGAAAGGAGAGAAATGTAGGAAAACTGCAGATAAAAGAAAGGTTCCTGTGTTGAAACTGGATGTTTATTTTGGAGGTAGTGAGGGAGGAGGTGAATGGCTTCCTGCCTTCCAACTTCAGTCAGGTTGGTCCAGACCTTGTCCAGCTGAGTCTCTCTGAGCAGTAGTCGTTCTGGGCAGCTTTCCAGGGCCCCTTCCCTTCCAACAAGTTTCCTTACTSCTTGCATCTAACTGGAATTTCCCTTGCTGTTGCCTTTTCTCCTTTGGTTGGGCTGTTCCAAGAAAAGCGTGTAAGTATCTCGAGATGGTTTCAGACTGCATCGAGATCCCCCTTATTCTCCAGGCTGCACAACCCTCCTTTCACCTCCCCTTGTGCTTTACTCTAGTTTCCCAGCCAGACTTGCATCCTTCAGGGCACATCGTACTAGGGAGAGATGTTTATTTGCAGCACTTTTATGAACACGATTTGTTCTTTATTTTGGGCAAGGCAAAACACTCCTGTTTCCAGACCAAAGCGGACATTAAGTTTTACGGATTTCTACCTGCAGGTTGCTACTTGGGGGTCATTCTCTTGATGCACATTATTTCAGGTTTAAGCGTTTTTACCAGAGGCAGTCACAGTCACTCAGCAGAAGAGCTGGCCCAGGGTGGGAATGATTGGTGTGGACCTCAGCACAGACAGAAGGGCTTGAGCTGGACACTGCTGTGTAACCAAGTGTTTAACCTGCACCCTGGCTCTGCACCCCCATTCTGTGAAGAGGGAATGGGGAAATGATCCCCTTGGTTAAATGACTGAAACTTGTCATAAGCAATTCAAGTGCAGATAAATTTGGTGGTTAATGCTAATCCTTTCTCCCTCTCCCGTGTTTTATTGAGTCATTCTGCTGGCGTGTTAAGTGGCTGAGAATTGGTGGTTTCAGTGGTGGTGGGGAGGGAAGGTCGGGATGTGGATCCAGCACTTGAAACTGGAAGGCACTGCTATTGCTTGATTTAATTTCTCTGTGAAATTATTTCTCGTGAAAGTAGAGAAAGGCGGAGTGGGGGAAAGGAACTCAGTACTGCAGCCCAATTTGAGTATTTCCCTTCTATTTTATAGATTCTTGCCTTGCTAAGAATGTCAGGTTCACTTGATTACCTGTATTAAAAATACAGTTCCTCTCATGTGATGCAAAKGTGTGAATACAGAGAAAATATTCCTGCAATTACTGTTTAAACACATTAATTTTTATTTTAACCTAGAATCTTCTTCAAAAATTGATATTTTTCTGGGCTATGACGTATGTAAAGATATACTCAGATTTTTCTCTCTGTGAGCACTTGCTTGGGAAATGAGCATGTTTCCAACCTGCTAACATGCCCATCTAAAGTGATGAAGATAACTGTGCTAGCTGATGACTTATTCCGTAGTCTGTGTAGTTCTGAAGCACATAAATGAAAATACACATTTCTCCTTTTGTTCTGTATTGCGTTTTCTTTCGTGATGGAAGTGCCTTTGTGTTGGCAGTTGATACTTGCAGCTTACTGCATCGTTTGGGGGGTTATGTGAATTCTACAATGTATTAATGGAGTAAATGAGAGGGTGATTCTAGGCTATCTGGTTTACACTGTCTCATTAAAATTGGTATTTTAATAGTCATTTTTCATTTTACTTTTTAAACTGAAGTTTATTTGGTCTGCTTAAAAAATAAAATCAAACAACAGAGTTCTTARTGTGTCACTTGTGATGTTTCTTTTTGGAGTGTAGTAGGATACTCTGATAATTTTTGGCTTACTCTTCATTTTTTTTGTAATTCTTTTTGAGTTTCTATTCTTTTTTAATGTGCCTTTTCCTGCCACTGACTAATTATGAGCATATGAGTTCATCCTGACTGAAAAACAAACAGCAAATGTAACAATATGAAAAATGCTGGCTATAACTATGTAAAACATTTTATTTACTTTTAGAGTTTAGGCTCTTCAGAACTTGAATTCCTTYTATGTTGATTCTCAGACGTAGAGGTAAGGGAAGACGGTGGTTGTTTTATTAAAGAACCTAAGGAAACTTGTTTCAAATTCAGCGTGGTTGTAGGTGATGCTTATGAGCAGGAAAGTGTCCTGGTTTCTAGAGGACAGAAGATGCTAACAGGCTGTAGCTGCCTTGGAAGTTGCACGTTGCCTTACTTCCACACAGTGGGAGTTGTGCTTCCTGTAAGACACTCCACGCTGTCAAATGCGGTCAGGATTTCTTGGAAGAGGTTATAAAGCCTATGGAGTTGGAAAGTGGGAAGCCATACGTTCAATGGGGTGATGCCTTCCTGGGAGGACATCATGCTACAGTTGCAGACTGAGGCAGGTAGCTTCAGGAACCCCGAAGTCTGGGAGAGGTCTCGCATCAGGCAGCAGCGGAGAGTGGGGGAAGAGCGAGCCCAAAGCTCTGCTTGCCGTCGAATTTGAGTCATTTTGGTGGCTGGCTACAGATCTAAGGAGATGACAGAGTTTGCAGCTGCTTTCCCGCAAAACAGTACCCTGATATCTTCRTTTTCCCTTTTCAAGGCTGAGTAGGGTTTTTGGGAAGGTCATAGGATGCATAAGTACAGTTTTTATAGTTTTGACTCAGTGTGGAGCACAGGCAAAATGAGAAATATTTATCTTCAGACATTAGCATTTCCTTGTGCTCCGAATAAAATTAAAATAAATTCTTAAATAGAATAACTTTAGAAAAAAATTACTGTGCCTGCTAACTAGTGCGTAATTGTTGGGAGTTTTATGACTGTTTATAGTTCTACATGCTACTGTGTCTTTTTACAGATGGTAAACAGCAAACTGTCCATGATTAATATATTTTATCAAGCTTTGTGGTACTTCTTGTTTTCCTTATACCATAATTCCTTCTGTTTTGGTGCTTTTCATTCTTGCCAGGCAGCTCTTGCTGCGTCCTTTCTAATCGGTAAATTGCCCTCAGTGAGAACCTAAGTGATGCAATTACTAATTGCAATTTGCTAATGGGCAAAGGCAGATTCTTGATAACCCTAATTGTAGACTTAGTGTTTCATGTGTGGGAGGGTGCGAAATGAAGACAACGTGGCCTCCATTTCATCTCTCCAAGTGCAGGACTCCAGTGGTTTGTTGAGCAAATGCCAAACTCAAGGGCCCTTCTGCCCTCCTTGAGGAAGGAGGTTCCTCCTTGAGGAAGGAGGTTCCTCCTTGAGGAAGGAGGTTCCTCCTTGAGGAAGGCCTCTAACCTTCTGCCACAGAGAGAGGGCTCTCTGCCTTCCCTAGGGAAGCATTCTGGAGCGTGCTAGCTGGTCCGGTGGTGACTGGCTGTATTGACAAAGGTAATGCACAACTTGGCATTAATATTTATGATGTTAGTGATAAATGTTGACTGTGTGTTGTTGAAACTGTGGCAGCAGTTCTTATGAAAGACTCCAGTGTCTGAAGGGTAGTAATTTCTGAGTGACAGGCCTAAGAAGATGCTGCCTGTTGCACCATCCCATCTGCGTCGCTTGGCGCCTTCTGCTCTGGCTTTGCAGCTCCCTGGGACGGGACTCGAATGGTGTGTGTTGGTGTCTCGGCAGTGAGTTGCTAGATCAGAGGTTTGAATTATACCTCTTGGGCACGTTCCTGTCTGTATGTGGTTTTTGGTGTGTCTTGCTTTATAAGAATTGTTGTGTAGGGCTTACCTAATGATGTCCTCTGTAGTTTAAATATATTTGCACTGAGTATGCATATACCTGAAAATAGAAATGCCTTTATGTGTTCTTGCAGCTAACAGAAGATGAAATTGCAACTATTCTTAAATCGACTCTTAAAGGACTTGAATATTTGCACTTTATGAGAAAAATACACAGAGATATAAAGGCTGGAAACATCCTCCTTAACACTGAGGGGCATGCAAAATTAGCTGATTTTGGTGTTGCTGGCCAGTTAACAGTAAGTATCTGTGGAAAGGTAATTTAAAAATGCTTTAATGCTCCTAGCCGTGTATTTTCTTTTTCTTTTCCCTTGAATTTTGTGTGCCAAGAAGTAACTGATATTGGTGGTAGAGCTAACATTCTTGGTCTTGATGAGTAATTTGTATTGAAAGGCTATTTAGTTCTTAGTTGTTTATTATTATAATCTATTTTATATACAGTCGTGGATGGTCCTTGTCACCCGTTGGGCCTAGGTAAGCTGGCCAGCTGTGTCAGTCTGATCCTAGTTGGAAGTCACTCCAGTTTGACCTCTGGGTGTCTAATTTAACATTTAAATATAGAATTAACATAAAAGAAATCTGTGAAAATAACCATTCCTGTTTTAATTGCACAAATAATATAATTGCAGGATACAATGGCAAAACGTAATACTGTTATAGGAACTCCATTCTGGATGGCTCCCGAGGTAATACAAGAAATTGGCTATAACTGCGTGGCAGACATCTGGTCCCTCGGGATCACTTCCATAGAAATGGCCGAAGGAAAACCTCCCTATGCTGATATTCATCCCATGAGGGTAAGTGTGGGCGGGAGGAGGCTCTTGTTATGAAATATTAATCCTGTTATTGTAAAACTGGATATTTATGGACAAAGTTTTAATGTGTTTTACTGTTTTGCTTCCTGTTTCCTGCAGTATTCTTGTATTTTGACATGTGTCTGTAAGGTCTGAAGTGCTCTTGTCKCTACGTGAGAGAGAAAACTGAGTCAATGTGTGCTTAATAGAACTGAAGACAACATACAGGGCCTGTGTCAGACTGTACCTGCTCTTCCAGAGCAGCGTCACCGAGAGGCCCTCCTCCTTTGAAAGGCAGTTTTGAAGGAAAGGTGGGCGGCAAGACAGGAATTCCCAATTGTCCCGTGTGAGCACTGCTCACATAAATAACCTTGAGCAGTTCTCATCTCTTATTGGCTCTTAATGTCTGTTACTGAGTTGGTTCACTTTTTGCAAAATGAAATACAAACAGAATTAGTAGCTTTATGAGAAGTAGGAGTTTTATAACAAGATTGCTTTGAGAAGTTTATGGAAAAAATGTTTATGTAGGGGTAGCTGTTGCTGCTATGGGTCATGGTTTTTGGGGTTTGGAATGAACTATGGAATAGCTCTACTGCTTTACTGTCAGTAACTACCCAGTCTACACATCTAAAGTCCGTTTGGTGTGAACAAGACCTGTTTTATAGGTTTGGGTCTTCATCTGTGTGCTTCATTGCAATAATGGCAATCTGTTCAGTTTCCTTCTGGAAATGTCTCATGTAACAGGATTCTAATGTAGGACAGTCACCTCTGTTGATAGAGTGAATACTGCAGATATGCAGTTACTTAAGGTAGCATGTATGTWATTTCACATGTTTTTCTGCTCTTGGTGCTTGGTTTTTGTTTGCATGAGCTCTTGTTAGAGGAAAAGAGACTTTTTCTGGCTTTTTTTTATGTACAATACAATTAATGATAGTGACTGTTCTGTAACTTGAAACACTACATCATTTTGGAAACAAAATGTATTTGTCCCAGACCATTTTTCCCCTCTGGGAATTAGCTATTTTACAGTCAATGTCCACATTTCAAGGTTCTTTTTACGAACTATATTGATTACGAATTAATTTGGTCGTGCTGGATTGTGGTTTTTTTCTTCTTGTATGCTTAATTGTCTTCATTACGTCTGGACTCATTTTAACGCACTAGTGTGTAGTTGTGCTCTTTGATAGGTGAGGGCTACATTATCAGAGAGGATTTTATAAGCATGACAATAGCTGCTTATAAACTGAAGATCACCATTAGAATGTAAAAGCTGGTGAATCTTGGAATCAAGTGAATGATATCAGAGGCCAAACTAAAACAATTCTGGGTTGCATAGAGCATGTGTTTTTGTTAATAAATTACATTATGGCCTTTCAGGCCTTTTATGCAGTCAGTACTTYCGTGTATTTGATACTTTCAGGTTTTCTTAATTTTTATTAGAGAGTTGTTACAGCGGTTACCAAGAAATACACAGATTTAAGTTGCAATAGTTTTTCCAGTGTTATCCGATATAATTTCACAGGACTCCTGGACAGATGTAGATGCTTTCCTACGTTGTTTTAGTTATGACATAGAATTGATATAGGCAAGCATGAAAGCTTGGGCAAATTTTCAGTGGTTTTTCTTTGTAGACGTTGCTGGAGCTCTGTGGTATTTATGTAAAGAACAATTTTGTTGCTTGGGAATGCAGGCTGAAATTACCATGTGTGCTCCTTTGCTGTAGGCTGGTTGGCACTGCCACAAAGCTAATGCACTGCCAGAAGGCCATTTCCTTGTCAACTGCGTTTACAGTTTAATAGAAATATTACATGACTTTCTTAAACAAGTGTTTTGGCAGAGAGGAAGTAGCAGATTCCATGCAGACAGGCAGAGCTTCCTCTCCTTAACCACACTGCAGCTATTCCAAAGCCGTGTCCGGGAAGGGCAAGAAGTGGGAGCGCAGAGGGGAATTTGGCAGCTGTGTAGCGCTGCTGCGGTTAATATATTGCTCATTTAGTGGACGTGGCTCTGTAAGTATCAGCAATGAGGTTTCACTTGCTCTGCTGCAGGTCTGAATCCAGTGTAACCTGCAGTTGTCACGCTTGGTCRAAGGCTCAAACGTCAAGATCCTCTGCCCGTTTAATGGTCTAACAGTGGTGCTGAATTCACGCAGGGATTRCAGGATGCCCAAAGTCTGATGTATTTTCAATAGAAAATTTTCTATTGAATTTACTGTTTAACGATTTACAATTTTCTATTGAAAATACATCAATACTGATCTATTTTCAGTAGTGTTATGATAACGATATGCATTGCTACTTCGTTTCCAAATTCTCCTCTTTTGTAATGGAAGCACAAAGGTTGGTACTACCTTGTGAAAGCAGTTCTGATTTTACATTTTATTGCAGCTGGATATACCCTTGGAATATAAGCAACTTAAGAATGCTTTAACGTGGCTAAATATTTTAATACTATAACTAGTTCTTGAAAAAGCATGCAAGACCCTTACACTTTAATTCCTTGAAGGGTAGGGCTGCATTAATGAATTAGAGTTAAAGGGGGAAAAACTTGCTGCTTGCTTGGGATCTTCCTGTCTTGCAAAAYTGAATTTGTCTGCAGGTGGTCTGAGGGGGTTCAGGTGCCTTCCCCTCAGCTCCTGTCCTTGACAGGGATGCTMGGCAGAGCTACAGGCACACTGTGCTTTTGATTGACGTTTCTTTTGGAGTATTTAATGCCCATAGGGCTCGTGAAGGATGAGATTTTTCAGAAAAATTTCATTATTTATTTGCTTTTTAACCACTAGGTCGGTTGCAGAGGAGACAACTGGGTGTATTYGAATGTGGTTCTAGTGAGGAGGTAACCCAGGCAAATACCCCTAGGTTACTGTGGCTTCTTGATAATACAGGTATATGATTTCTTCTCACTTTCCGACATATCTAGTATAGAGTTTTAAAGACGTTTTCTGTGGCTATTTTATTCCAAACGACAACAGAGTAAAAGAAATGCTACATGAATTGTTCTTGGGCATTGTCAGTGACTTCAGGAGTGTTACATTTCAAAAAAATATAAAAGCAACTTGTGATGCTTTACTTCTCTTGCATAGCAAGCTGCTTTATTGACATTGCCCCATTGGGGATGTGCAGGTGATAGGGCACAGGACGGATCTGCGTTTGCCGCTTGCTGGCAGCGTGAAGGGGCAGCATGTTGAGCATCACCCCATTCCACATGGAAAGGAGGGATGGGTTTTTGATCCTCTCATGAAAGCAAGGGAGGAGAAAATACCATTTGTCCTCTGGCCAGACTTGCAGCGAGAGAGATTTCCCTCCCTGCTCCCCGTCCTCAAGGGCTTTTGAAGAGGTTCTGCCACGTTGTTATATCGGAGCCGCAGTTCCCAACTTCCCACAGATTCCACAGGGTCACGGGACTCAGAGCCTAAGCCACATGAAAGAGCAGCAGGGGCCTGTAGTGGTTCAGCTCTGCTCCCGTGTGTGTTCACATGGGGGTGCTGGATGGGCCTGATCATCTAGTTTCTTTTAGGTGAGAAACTACCCTGTGAGTATGTGGCCCTTCAGAGAGGAAGAAGACACAAATGATGGGTGTAAGTAAAGKAAGAGAGTAGAAGATGAGGATTACAGTAAAGAGATGCGTTGAATTCAGCTTTAACAGCCCAAAAGGGCGTACTGAGGTAAGACAGGGGAAATTAAAAAAAAAATTGAAGGAAGAGCTCACTAATGAGAAAAAAAAAATGCATTATAAAGGTTCTCATTCTCTCATACTTTTTTTTTCTAACCCAGCATAGTGTGTTAAGACATTAACATTGATAATCTCATATTTTCATAGTACATGTGTAAGGGAGATGATTATGGTGGCTAGATCAGAGGATGACTGGATCAGAGGATCACAAGGCCCTGTATACTGGGCTCCCCAGTGTAAGAGGGACGTGGAGCTTCTAGAGAGGGTCCAGCGAAGAGCAACCAAGAAGATTAAGGGAATGGAACATCTCTCGTATGAGGAGACACTGAGTGAGCTGGGCCTGTTTTCTCTGGAGAAGGCTGAGAGCGGATCTTATTAACATGTATAAGTTCATGAAGGGAGAATGCAGGGAAGAAGGGGACAAGCTCTTCTCAGTGGTGGCCAGCGATAGGACAAGGGGTAATGGGCACAAGCTGAAACACAGGCAGYTCCGTCTCCAGGTGAGGAGGAACTTCTTCCCTGTGAGGGTGSCAGAGCCCTGGCACAGGCTGCCCASGGAGGCTGTGGAGTCTCCTTCTCTGGAGGTCTCCAAACCYGCCTGGATGCCGCCCTGTGCCCCGTGCTCTGGGTGTCCCTGCTGGAGCAGGGGGTKGGACTGGRTGATCTCTAGAGGTCCCTTCCAAYCTTGAATATTCTGTGTGATTCTACTCCTGTCTGTGTTAGAACGTGAAAATCTCCAGTGTGATGCAGGAACACAACTTGGTTGTGTATATGAATTGCTGCTTTTATCTACTCCCTTTTCACTTGTGATAATGGAGCATAAATGCTTTGCCATGATTTGAAGAATGCATCTTCACCCCTTTGCATCACTCAAATTGTTTTGATTTAGGAGAGGATAGCATAGTATGTAATTTTTCCCTGCTGTTGAAAGTATAGATTCTTTATTTTTTAATTRTGTTTTATGTTTGTCTACATGTGCATGAATAGGAAAGACTTATCTGGCATGTGTAACAAAGTAGCAGAAGTGAGAATATTTGATATATGGACCACAACTTAAATTTAATTTGAATTAAATAGAAAACTTTTTTTATGCTTCTAAATGAGTATTTAATTAAAATTAAATTAGTTCTTCTTTCTAGACTTACCCCTGAATAGGAAATTTGAGGCGTGCTTCAGTTGATGGTTGGTTTTCTCTGACTTTGATTAATCACTTTCAAAGTAAGTGGGGGATCAGTACAGTAATTTCATAATTGCCCACAAGTGAGTTAACTTGAAACCTGAACTAAAATAACTGCAAAGGAAGTTTGAGGTTGGCTGATTTCATGTAATGC